CTGTGTGTCTTTCAGAAGTCGCTGCTGTCCGACGGCGTGGAGATCCCGGTGCATCTGATCGGCGACGCCTCGTTCCCCCTGAAGCCGTGGCTCATGAAGGGCTACAGCGAGGAGCACCAGCTGTCTCCGGAGCAGCGCCGCTTCACCTTCACGCTGGCCTCGGCCCGGTCGCTGGTCGACGCCGCCTTCGCCCGGCTGAAGGGCCGCTGGAGGTGTCTGCTGAAGAAGAGCGACATCGACGTGTCCATGATGCCCAGGGTGGTCGCCGCCTGCTGCGTCCTGCACAACGTCTGCGAGCGGCGAGGAGACGGATTCCTGCCCGAGTGGAGCGTCGAGGCGGATCCTTCTGGAAACTACCTGGTCCAGCCGGAGACGGAGGAGTACGAAGGAGACGCCTACTGCACCGCCGAGGTGATCCGACACACCCTCACCTACAACCTGCTCACGGTGCTGCAGTACTGAAGCCACCCAGACTGAACGGAGACACTCAGCACTTTACTGGATGTTGGTCGATAAACGGCTTGAAGCTGCTTTCTGCTTCCGCTCCACGTTTCAGAAGGAAATATTGGACAGTGCTTTACTGCTTTATAGAACATCCCGTTTATAATCATAGAATATCAAAGTCCTGAATCATTTCCTGTATAACNTCAGATCGGCTCTCGGCCTGCAGCCGTCTGTGTTTGTGGACGTTTGTTTGGTTTCCAGGGTCTCGGGGGTCTGAGCTGCAGCCGCCTGAAGGACCAGGGCCCCCTGCAGGCCGGGCCTCCCCGCAGCAGCCGGCCCGGGCCCGGCTCTGCCCGATCCAGTCGGAGGCATGCTGGGAGCTCCGGCGCCCTCAGACAGCCTTCGAAGCTTCAGCTGTCGACTCTGCCGGGAGCGGCGCCTCCCGCAGGTCAGCGAGGATCAGCGCTGTCAACGCCTCGGCTGGTTACCGAGGAGGAGCTGCAGCCTGCAGCAGCCACAGCCAACCAGCTGGACTCGCTCTGATGTGGGCTCTGTGCTGGAGACAGCAAACTCCCGACCAATCAGAGCCTCAGCCTGCACGTCATGCACGCTGCTCTCAGAGGGCTGCAGGGAAAGAGCTGCTGCAGCTTCAATAACCAACGTTTCAACCATAAAAAGTGTCAGAAAGTAGTTTAACATGAGCTCAAGTTTCTGCTGTGGACTGAAGCTGTTGTACAAATAAAGGTTTGGCTTTTTGTTTCATTTATGCCTGAAGACACTCATACAAAGAGACACAAAACAACACAAAGAAACACAAAACTAACACAAAGAGACACAAAACAACACAACGACCACAAACAGACACCAAAGCATCAGAAATCTTTTTTTTAGTATAACATGTCACAAACTCGCCCCAGCCCCTCACGACCCCAGTGAGGATCAAGCGGTGCATAGATGATGGATGGATGGACAAACTCTCACCTGAAGCAGAAGAAGGAGAAGAAGAAGAAGGAGGAGAAGGTGAGATGAACCTCAGAACTGCAGGAGTCCAGAACTTTCTTCAGCTTTTCTGTTACTTCAGTTCAAACTTCTGTTTCTGCTGCCACCTGTGTTCAGACTGCACAGGTGACTCCTGAAACGGCTCCTCTTCTTCTTCTTCTTCTTCTTCTTCTTCTTCTTCTTCTTCTTCTTCCTGTTTTATGATGGATGCCCACCAGTAGTTTCATGTATCTTATCAATGATTCCCCGCCTACTCTGAGGTATAAATGGCTGCAGGGGAACACATATTTACTTTTTCACTTCCAACTCTTCTGCTCACTCAAACACTGCAGCGATTGCAAGAAGTTTTTATTAATTGAGCAACAAATCACAAAATATTACACAACATCAGCTCACTGCACTTTAATTTGTGGTGATTTATGTGTCAAGTGTTCAGTAACGACACATACATGTTTTAAACTGTCAGAAAAATATCCTAAAAATGTTCAACAATTATCTGTAAAGATAATAAAATTTTCCACAGATAATTTTTTTTAAAAAGCCCTTGAATTTTGAATAAAACACACAAAAAATTAAATGTTTAAAAAGTCCATGCAAATGTCACTAAAATGAAAATTAATCTGAAAAAGACAAAGATATGAATAAATGTCTCAGCAATATTTATTATTTGTCTGTAAAGCTAATTAAATGTCCCAAAAGTATTAAACAAAAATGTTTTAATAAATACAAGAAATAGAAAGAAAAAAATATAAAAATATTAACAATATGCAAAGATATTAATAAAATGTTCAAAAAATGCTGATATGATTTAATGAAATGATTTAATGCGTGAACATTTTTGTCACAATCATATTAATAATTTACAATAATATATAGTGATAATAAATTGTTCTAAATGTTTTTAATGTTTTATAATATTAATAAAATATGTTTAAAAAATTACCATAATAAATAAAATTAACAAAATCTTTAAAAACATTATTAATGTATTAATAAAATAATAACAATTATGTCTGAATTTTGGTAATTAAGCTCCGTACACTGACATGTACTTTAATTACTAATATTAATAATATTTGTATAAACTATTCAGGAAATTGCTGATAAAAATAATACAATAAAATAAAAACATCTGTCACGTGGTTTTGTGGCTCCTACGTCATAAGGAGGCGCGGCAGAGTCCAAGATGGCGGCGGAGGAGGCTCCGTCTCTGACGGCGCTGCTCTGCTCCGTCCTCCGCCCGGACCCTCCGCCGCTGTTCGCCGGGCAGGTGTTCGAGCTGTACCGGCTCCAGACGGCGCTCCTGCGGCAGCGGAGGGTCCGGGAGATGATGGAGCGGGACCGGCGGCGGCGGCAGTACCTGCGGAGGAGGCGAGCCTTCCTGCTGTCGTCCATCGCCGCCATCCTGAGTCTCATCACCTCCACCAACCGGCCCGTCTGGGTCCGGAACCGAGACGCCGGACAGAACTTCTGGGCGACGGCAGAGTCGTTCGACGAGGACCAGTGGAAGGCGCAGTTCCGCGTCTCCAGAGCGACGTTCGACTACCTGGTGGAGCTGATCGGTCCGGCCATCAAGCGCCGCCGGACCAACTACCGGGTCCCCATCGAGCCGCGCCGCCGGCTGGCCATCACCCTGTGGTGGTTCGCCCGCTCCGGGGAGTACCGCTCTATCGCCGACATGTTCGGGGTGGGCATCGCCACCGTGTGCATCATCGTGCGGCAGGTGACCGTGGCCATCGTGGAGCGGCTCTACCGGCGCTTCGTGTCGCTGCCGAGCGGCCAGCGGCTGGACGACACCATCCGAGCCTTCAAGGAGCGCTGCTGCCCGCAGTGCGCCGGAGCCATCGGCGGGACGCACATCCCCATCGCCCCGCCGAGGGACAACCCGGAGCACTACGTGAACAAGCGGGGCTGGCACTCCGTGATCCTGCAGGCGGTGGTGGACCACGACGTCTGGTAGGACCGGGAGCTCAGTATTGATCCGCTCATTGATTAGGTGATGAACAGGAGAGATGAATGTCTGATGTCTGCTGCTTTCTGTCTTCTGACACCTTCACCTCAGTGTTCAGGCGTTTTGATGTTTTATTAAGATTAATAAATAGTGTAAAAATAGTAAGTAATTCAAATCAATAAAGTATCTTTAAAACGTGGAAAATATGCTTAAAAAGACTGAAAAATGTTCGTAAAATATTCTAGAAATGGCCCCAAAATATTGATTCATTTAAAAATTAATATTTATAGAGTGTGATAAAATAGTTTGAATGTACAAAAAAGGTGAATAAAATGTCTAAAACTGATTAAATGTCCTATAATAGAGGAAAAAATCATTTAAATGCCCCTAGAATATGAATAAAATGTGAGAAAAATGACAAAACGTTTTAATAAGATCTGACAAAAATGAAAGTCCCCCAAAATAAAAATAAAAATATCAATAAACTCCATCTGGTCTGTGAAAATGTGGTGACAAAAGAAAATACGTTGCTGCAGAAATGGACCCAAAATATTATTGAGATTATCAGATAATATTATTATACTGTCAAAAAAAATGGAAAAAATATCAATAAAATGTCAAAAAATATATATAAATGTGATTTAGAAAGAAAAAAAGACAGAAAATGTGAATGAAACATATGGAAAATAATAATATCACATTTACATTATAAAATGACAAATTAAAAGTATAATGTGCAATTTAAATGTACCTAGAATATGAATAAAATGTCAGAAAAATGACAAAGCGTTTTAATAAGATCTGACAAAAATAAAAGTCCCCCCAAAATTTTGAAAATATCAATAAACTCTCTCTGGTCTGTGAAAAGAAAGAAAAGAAGAAAAGAAGATGCTCCAGAAATGGACCCAAAATGTTATTAAGGTGCACAAGTAGGTGTTTATTAAATAATATTATTAAACTGTCAAAGAAAAAAATGTGGAAAAAATAAATGTTATTAAGGTGCACAAGTAGGTGTTTATTAAATAATATTATTAAACTGTCAAAGAAAAAAATGTGGAAAAAATTGGATAAAATATCAATAAAATGTCAGAAAATATATATAAACGTGATTTAATTTTTTTTTTTTTAAGCCAGAAAATGTTAATGAACTACATGGAAAATAATAATAATAATACCATATTTACTGTATAAAATGACAAATAAAAATTGTGCAAAACGATCATTTGATATTGAAAACATTGATTTGCTGATCTACAGATAATTGATGAAGTAAAAACAGGCCAAATATTTTTACATTTCAGCATCTTAAAAAACAAGATTTGCTGCTTTTTAAACTGAGTATTTGGGGCTTTTGTCGACTTTATAGATCAAGCAATCAGCAGGTTTATAGATAATAAAACATCATGATTTGCTGATCAACAGGAAAATGATTAACTGTGATGTTTTTAAGTGTGGAAAGTAAAGAAATGTCAAATATTTTCAAATTTCAGCGCCTCAGTTTACTGCTTTTCTGTCATGAGTGACTTTAAGCTGGATATTTGGGGCTTTAGGTATTTTACGCTCCAACCAATCAGCTGATCGATCAATAATGACAGTATTGATGAGCTGCGTCCTGATGAACGTGTTGTGTTTGTCGGTTAGCTTCACAGACGTTTACGCCGGCTGGCCTGGAAGCACCAGCAGCGCCACAGTCCTGTCCAGCTCTGACCTTTACCTGAAGGCCGAGGACCGACCCGACGGCTACCTGTTCCCCAGAGAGGTGAGTGGGCGGAGCCTCGCACACCTGGGAGACAAAGCAGCAGGTGTTTACTCACCTGGAGGCTTTATCCCCTAATATCTGCTCCGACAGATGCAGCAGACACAGAGTTTGACATAAATTCAGGTCTTTTCTCAGTAAAGTCTGGTTTTAGTATCTGTTAGCCACTAAAATATGAAATAAGTCCAAGTCAGAGATGCAGTCGCACCAGA